TTTAAGGTAAATACTGTGCTGAGTGGTTATATTACTACCTTAAAAAACAAGCAGAAACTCGACGTTTCGAGTCAAGAGTTAGTAGTTCGTAGAAACGAAAGTCGAAACGTCGAAAAGTCGAAGTAGGCCGTAGGATGAGCATCCAAAAGATGCTTAGAAAACTGATTCCGTTGCACCCCTCGTGGAACTACGTAATTTTCACATGAATAAATAGAAAAAACTTACTTTATCAGAATCCGTTGCTCCCCAAGTGAAACAGGTGCACAATTGGGAGAAAAATCCCTCCAAAGTTTGATATTTTCGCGCTTCGAAATATTCGAACCGCCATTGTTTTGATAGCAAATACGCATGCGCAACTCAGCTAAACTCGCACTGCGCACGCGCACAACCAACGCACATGCTTCGAAGTGGAAACACGCTCAGTTTAATATGCAAATAAACATGGCTGAAAATATTTATAAAACTCGAATATCCTCATGTTTTATGCATTTTGATGGCGTTACGGAGCAACTTTGCAAAGTTACACGCCAAAGGCTTAAGACATTTTTTGAGGGTAGGTCAAAATGGGCCAAACTTAAATGTTAACAAGCTGAAATAGCTAAGAAATCGTACGAGAACATCGATGACGGATCTGTCAATTCATACATGGAGAAGAACCCTGACACCATTAACTTAGAATGGAGCCATCATGAAATGCTAGAAGAGATTTTGTGATGAACAGAAGATCCGTAGATAACAGAGGAGAGGAGAAAAAGGGGAAGGAACTAGCTGTAAAACTGTAACTTCTACCGAAGAATCACACGTGGAAGTGGAGGCAATAGAACCAAGGCGAAAAATTACAAGCTATAAATATAAAGGCCCTGCGTAAAAGAAACGCGCATGTACTCCCAGAGATATGTATTATTTGTGGAAGAGACGCCTCGAGGTTATCTCTAGACAAGGTATGGTCATTTTGATAGGTATAATACTAGCGCAATGTCCACGACATTCTCAGGTTTGGTTTTAAAATAAATTGAATTGTGATCAATTAAGTTTATTTAGGGTAAAGTAGTTTCTATGCTACAAACATCCAACCTTGTTATTAGCAGATATTTAGTTTAATAATTTATTTTGTTTCACACCAGGTAACTAAGAAGAGAAGAAGAACCTCACTCATTATTTATTATTATTGTTATTATTATTATTATTATTATTATTATTATTTAAAAATATTTTAAAACGGTAGCTCTTCAGGGCTCGTAGGCACCTGTTTTTCAAGAGGCCGTTTATTACAGTATTTACAAGCTATATAAATATAATAACACAAATATACACACAAAAACAGAGAAAACATAACGAACTTAATAATTGCATGCACTACATTTGTATCTAAAAATATCCTATCCTATTTAAATATTTACAAAGTTACCAAAAGGAATCAAGTGCCGTCAAGAATACGTTTAAATTTGTTAAGGCTAATGCCTTTTTCTTTTGCTGTAATTGATAAGTCATTCCAAAGGGATGCAGCTGAATAACTGAAGCTCTTTTTCATAAAATTTGTTTCAGGTTTTCCAAGATCATAGTTGTTATTGTTACTTCTTAAATCATATCTGTCATTTATTTTAATTTTGAACATGTTGCAAATTGATGATGGCATTTTTTCGTTTCGTATTCTGTGCATAAAAATCGATTTATTGGTTTTATAGCGTTGGTTTAAAGGTTGCCAGTCTAATTCTTTTAAAACATCCTCAGAACTAACTTCATAAGTTTTACCAGTTGTTGGCAGAAACAATTGATGCTTGTCTTCTACGTACAGCTGCCAGCTAGTAACTTGCCGAGCATACGCACAAAAAAAGTGGGTACACTAGTTACAACTCTGTATGTCTCTCCTCTGTGATACCGTATAACTCTCAAAACAACGATGCTTTGATCAAAGAGCTTAAATTCGCTCTAAAATCCGTGAGGGAATGACAAAATTCGGCCAAAACATATCCGCGTGCCGGGTTTGCTGGACAAAAAGCGGAAGTCGTTGAACAACTCAAAATACACTCAACCCTCATTGGACAACGAAAATCAACAAACATTTCAATTTTTTCTGCACTTGGGGGGGGGGGGACAGTACTTGGAACAGTACTGTAATAATTTAAATCAAAACAATTCACAAACGTTGTAAAGTCTGCTACAAGTCTATTATATGTGTTACTGTAAATATAACTGTAGTTTTAATATGTATAATAAATTCGTATTTCACATTGTGTTTGTTACAGGGTTCTCCTGAATTATCGTCCAGCTATAAATCTTGATGCATTTTGTTTTTCTGACGATATTTTAAAACATGCGTAGACCCTCGAGACGTGCATTATGTTACATTCATTTAGAAAGGAAACAAACGAACACAGTTGATCGAAATGAGGGAATTTCGTCCGTTGCGGCACATGAGCTGGCATAAACATTGCTGGGTTTTCCCTACGTAACTTTTAATCTTAAAACGTTCTTAAATAAAACGTTCTTAACTGTTTGTTTACAGTAATATTATATATTTATATATGTCAAAGGCACCAATACAGGTACACATGCTAGACATGCTACTGTGTAAGAATACAAACGTAGTTAAATCGATAGAAGTATCAGCAACACAAAAACTTATGACTGATAATTGACAATTAATTACTAAGCAGTGTCACTGTTCGCTTCCATGCTCATATGAAAACTAAGGCTGTTCTTTTTAACGTTTATATAAAACCATAGTACGTAAAAACTATTCACTGACTATAAGGCCAAATAAAAAAAATACTTGGTTACCGTCACACTCTCACAAATTTTCAGAGGCGGGATACGAAAAAACACGGCCATAAGCATGAACGGTCCGAAAAACCGCGCGTTTTAGGCTGCTTTTGCTGAGTTTTTGGAAGTTTAAGATAAAACTAGGACGTCATACCTCAGGAATTATTTAAACCCATGCAAAATACATCTGTATGCGAAGTTTCAAGAAGATTGAACGTTTTAAAGTCGAAAAAAAGCATTTGAAAATTGACAAAAATATTGTCTATGTATTGCTATGATTGCTACTGTCAGTCGGTCGCTCACATCAGAGTCAAAGTTTTCATAGAAGGTTTATTAAAAAGCTAATTTTAAAGGGGAGAAAAATGTAAAACCGAAGTGTGTTTTGCTTCTAAAAAAGGCTATGCCTTATAGCTGTGTTGTTTGTGGATGCAGGAGTAATAAAAATAAGGAAAACGAGGAACACATAGAGCATATAGCCTACCACAGGTGAGTCTATATGTGCATGCATAATGTTTACATAGGAAACCAATAAAAAATCAGGAAATAATTGCATAATGTTTTATTTACCAACATATCTACACACAGTATATACATAGTCTGACAATTCACATTTACAATATAATAATATAAACTTTAAGATTCCCCTTGAAGAATAAGGAGCTGTTGGAAAAATGGGAGGAAGTGGTCAAGAGAGTAAAAAATTATGGAAATGGATGGAGGGCAACACAGCATAGTTTTATTTGCAGCAAGCACTTTGAAAAGGATGACTACATTCAACTCCCAACAGCTGATACAGTTTCATGCAGGCTTAAAAGAAGTGCCATACCCTCATTGTTCAAGATTGAACTATTTTCATGCCACATCTCGGATGAAGCAACAAGACGGCTACAAACAGAATGTAACAACATGCCGGTACACACAGCACGGAAACGAGTCAGTCAACGGGACACCCCACAACCAGAAAAAGTGCATATAAACAAAAATTATGAAAAAGTCTTCAGAATGGGAAGCAACGATACAGAAATATCTAATAAGCAATTGAAATCAAAAGTAAGAAACTCACAGCAACAACTTCGTCGATGCAAATCAAAAATCGCCAACATGTCAGATGTGATCAACAACTTAGAGCAGAACTTGATTGTCAAAACCGAAATTGCTGACAGATTGCATGCTTCATTTGATAAATTACAACTATCCATTTTCCACAATGCCAAAAACAACACCACTATCTCCCCATGTGGCAGACGATACACAGAGAATTCTCATCAAAGAATTCTCTCTAACATTATACTTTTATTCACCAAAGGCATATGAATATGTGAGGTCAATCATACCACTGCCAAATCCATCTTTGATTAGAAAATGGTCAAGCTCAGTTGACTGCGAGCCAGGTTTCCTGCAGGAGGCATTCCAATCGTTGCAAAGTGAGGCAGATAAAACACCATCGAAGAAAGACTGTGGTCTCATTATTGATGCCATGTCAATAAGGAAACAAACATTGTGGGACCCAAAGAAAGAACAGTACTCGGGTTTTGTTAATTATGGCCCAGTACCACCTGAAGATCCTGAAACCCTTGCATCTGAAGCATTAGTTTTCATATTGGTTGGAACACGGAACCGGTGGAAGTGTCCGATTGGTTATTTTCTGGCTGATAAAATGAATGCTAAAACCCAAGCACAGCTGGTTAGGATGGCCTTGGAAAAGGCAGCTGACGCAGGATTAAGGGTTTGGTCAATAACTGCCCATGGTACATCTGTCAATGTCAGCACGTTTACTCAATTGGGTTGCATATTTGGTACAACATACGACTCCATGGTAACCATGTTTAAGCATCCATCACGGAATTACAATGTCTATGTAATATTGGATCCATGTCATATGTTGAAACTCGCACGGAATGCACTGGCCAGCTTAGGTTCATTTTATGACAGTGACGGTGGTGAAATTCAATGGAAGTTCTTTCATCTTCCGCATAACCTTCAAGAAGATGAAGGATTGAATTTAGGAAACAAATTCTCAGCACAGCACCTACAATTTCAAAAACATAAAATGAATGTAAGATTAGCTGCACAGACCCTAAGCTCATCAGTGGCAAATGCAATCGAATTTCTGGACGTTTCGATGAAGCGACCGCAATTTAAGAACAGCGGGCCTACTATAAAATTTATAAGAAATATTGACAGAGCATTTGACATTCTTAATTCTAGATGTCCTCGGGCTAAGGGACATAAGCAGCCTCTGAGACCCAAATCAAAAGATACATGGGAAGATTATCTAAAATCAACAGCAGAATATCTACTATCACTGGTTGGGAAACAAGGAAAGAATAAAGAACAAGAGCTTCTTTCTACTCACAGAAGAAAAACATTTATTGTTGGTTTTGTAGCTACCATAAAATCCACCATCAACATGGCAAATGAAATGTTTTCACTGAAAGAAAATCCTTTTGCATATCTGTTAACGTACAAGTTCTCGCAAGATCACATGGAATTGTTGTTCTCGTGTATACGCTCTAAGGGTGGTTGGAACAATAATCCAAACAGTATGCAGTTAAAATACGCTCTTAGAAAAATGCTTTTCACGAATGCAGTGAAAGCCTCGAAAAATTCCAATTGTGTAGATTTTTCAGAAGGTTTTTCTTCGGGAATAATTCCAATTTTACATAAGAGAAAACACAGATCCCCGCTTATCGAAGAAGAAAAGCCAGAAAATGATTCCGGGTTTACGCTAACAGAGCAGCTGCTAGTTGAACAGTTAGCTGAAAGAGGACATTCAGAATTTATGGGAAACATTCTGTTCCACATCAGTGCATTCATAGTCAAAAAGTTGATAAAATTACTTGCCTGTACAGCTTGCAGAAGTTGTCTCATTTCAAGTCTTTCATCCTCCTCTGTCGACC